AAGATTCTTCCCTGATGAAACTGTTTAGTTTTATACTGATGAAGTTGTTGCAGATAGATTTAGCATTTGGCATGGCAATAGGAGGTACAAATACTTTACTAGTATTTTTATAATACATGAAATTTATTTTAAGCTTTCATATAATGTTACTCCTCTCTTGCTGGCTCTTTGGTTTATGTAAAGGAGTTACCAGTTATAGTGGTAAGCTTAGTCTTCCTACTCATCTACCTCAATGACCCCTGCCTCTATCTTTGTCAAATAAAGGGTCAGCATTTCCTTTCCACATGAGTTTTGGAAAAAAATAATAAGGAAAATATACTTAACTAGTCATCTATCCTCCTCTGCTTTGGTTGTAGAAAGAGCCAAACTGATCTTCCTGGAGGTTTAACTTTCCTTATATTTTTCTGGAGTGACTATAACACAACCTTCTATGCATCTCACAGTGCACAGGCTTCTTCTCATTCATTCATATATACATATGTGGTGGTGATTATATATAAATATATATACACACACACACACACATATACATACAACTCTTTATTTCAACTTGTAGCTTTTATTTATCTATTTTTATGTCATTTTTTGTTTTGGCTTTACAGTGAGCACCTCAATATGTACCAGTATTTTAAGGACAATCTCTAAATTCATATTTAGTACTTTAGTTCATAAGTCTTTGGCCTTTTATTTATTATGTCTACCACCTCTTCTCATTTTCACTATCACTGTTAAGAACTGAGTCTGTTTTGAGATCTTAAATACCAGTGTTCTTCTTTCTGACTATAATCTTATTCTTTCAGCACTTCAATTTTCTTTTTCCAATGACATTTACTCTATGATTGTCTCAAGATTTATGGTTTCTTGATTATTCCTTTTTTCCCTAAGTATACATATCCCTTCAACTTTATTTCCTGATCTATTTAGCTTAGACTATCATTTCAAGGTTGGTACCTTCAATCTCTCTGCTCTCCATCATTTTTGGTGTAAAAATTTGTAATCCTGTCATTTCATTTAATTTTTTTTGGCGATACTGGGGTTTGAACTCAGGTCCTACACCTTGAGCCACTTCACTAGCCCTTTTTTGTGCAGGGCTTTTTTGATATAGGGTCTTGGGAACTATTCACACAGGCTGTTATCAAACCTCGATCCTCCTGATCTCTGCTTCCTGCTAGGATTATAGGCATGAGACACTGGCACCCAGCTTATTTCATTATTTCTGTTGTTGTTGTTTGTACAGGGGTGTTTAAACTCAGGGGCTTTAGGAAAGTGCTCTACCACTTGACCTATGCCAATAGTTCAAGATTCATTTCAATCCTTCACCTTCTGTGATTCTATACAAAGACAATAGAATAGATTAGATTACATAACTATAATTTAGAACCCATGCAAATGTATGGCATCCATTCTCAGCACAGTCCTCAGGATTGCTTGGCTGGTTCTTTTTCTTGCCAGTATTCAGTTCTGTTATTTCCTTCAGTAGCTATTCTAACTGCCATTCCTGTCAAAGCCTTTTGATATATCATGTTCAGAAGCTCAGATTAACCCCGATTTTATAGACAAAATGAAAGTAATTGTGGTCTCAAGTGTGTTTATACTCACAGTTATTATTATCTCCTTCACTACTGTCTATGCTCACAATTTGGCCATCTTTCTGTTCAAGGTGAACTTTTCTACAGACATTCTAAACTCCATCTCTTCCAAACTCAGAATTCTATCCCATAACAATTCCATTGGTTCCTTCCAACTAGCCATCATACTCAAGAATTTTTAATTTTTCAAAAACAAAAAACAAAAATCAGCTTATTTTCTTTTCTTTTCATCTATCACCATCACTATCCTTCTTACTCATTTCTTCATGAACTTTCTAGTGTCTAAATTTCTGTTATTCTTTAACTCCTAATTACTCTTCAATTCATAGAAAACTGGTTTCTATATCTAATACTCTATTGAAACCACTTTTGTGGAAATCAGTAATGACAATCATATTCAAACACAAAGGATAATTTTAGCCCTATTTTGTTTAACCATTTAGAAATGCTTGGTTTTTTTTTTTGAAATTTCACTTCTTAGCTTTAATGACATAACATTATTTCCTTCACTTCACTGTATTCTTGTTTTTAAAAAGACACTGGTTGAGCACTAATAATAGCACTAACAATAATACTGAGATTAAGATCTTGTACATACTTTAACAAATCTCTGAAGAAGTTACTCTCACTTTGAAAACATAGAATGGGGATGGAAAAGTTCATTTATGTTAGGCCACACAAGTGGGTAGCTGTCTAACTGCAAATCCTAGTAGCTTTACTATATCATCAACCTTTTTAAATAAAAAAGTTGCAACAAAATACTCGTGAAGTATATCTTTCATCCAATAATTGCTAACTCTATTTAGAAGATATATAACTCTAAGATTCATGTAAAGAAAAACAGGCCTTTGAGAAACATGATTTGGGCTGGGGATATAGCTCAGTGGTAAAGCTTTTGCCTAGCATCTACAAGGCTCTGGACTGGACCTCTAGCACCACAAAGCCAAACAAATATTTTAGCTAATTTTCAAAAATAATTCAGTAATCTTCTGCAATTCAGCAAAGAGAAAGGGCCTTAAGAAATTGTATCAAAGTTTATTTTTCAGGAAGTAATGTTAGTTCATGCAAGATCATCATATACCTCCTGGAATTCACTTCATCAACAGAGTTGCTTCCCTACCTCACAAGGAGAGCAAGAGAAATTTCATTAAAAACCTTCACATCAATGGAGTCAATCTACTATCTTTCACATTATAACATTCATGGTCAAGGCATAAATGCATACATCACACAGTGTTCATGATACTTAATAAAGGGTTAATATGTGGTTCTTTATTTTACCAAGAAGAGATGCTACTTCAATGTAGCTCACTGAAACATGTACATGAAACATCTGCTTTCGAACTTGGCTACACATGAGAGTTTCTAGGGAACTTTAAAACACACTGAAACTTGTAATTAGCCTGAGTTGGGTTGGGAATCAAGGTTTTCAGAGGCTTCTAGGATGATTCTAATGGTAGCTACAGTTGAGAATAGCTGGTGTAAAAGATGGAGAAAAGACAGTAATATTCACTTTACAGTAAAATAAAATGGGATGGTAAGGTGTATTCATTCACTGTAAGAGTTTCCTTACTTGAATACTCATCTGACTGTAATTATTGCAAAAGCAAAGATTTTCCTGTCCATGACCAACAAACGAACTTGATGTTTCATAACTATGTTAGTTTTCTAGACCTACTGTGACAAAGTACAGTAGGTGGCTTAAAACAACTAAAATTTAATGTCACATTGTTCTGGATACCAGAAGTCAGAAGTTGGGTGTCAGGTGGGCTATGGTCTCTCTGATGGCTATAAATAGGAATCCTTCCTTGCCTTTCCTGGTATGTAGGGTTTGCTGGAAATCTCTGGCATTCCTAGGCTTGTAGATACATCGCTTCAGTCACACAGCTCTCTGTGCATGTCTCAGTGTCCAGATTTCCCCTTTTTATAATGACACCAGTCTTAATGGATTAGAGCTCACCCTAATGACATTATTTTTACTTGACTGCCTCTGTTATGATCCTATTTCAAAATAAGGTTATGTTCTGAAGCTACTGGGGGTAGGAGGTCAGAATATTTTTGGGGGCAGCTGACATTAAATTCACAAAAATAACCAACTACTGAAGATGTCATTGCTCAAAAGCCGTTCTTAATTTGGGGAATGAAAAGAATATTTATTACAGTGTTTCCTACAATTATGAATATGAGCAATAAATCACAGCAGCAATATTAGTGGTTCTTCAGAGTTTGTACCCACAGAAACCAAAGGTTTTTCATGCCATATTTCAGCATTTACAGTTATCACAAAATACCATTCATAGACATTGCCAGCATGAAATTAGTTAATAGGTCTGCTGCTGGATCTAGTTATTTAATACATTAATAATGATTCATATATATAGTTGGATATGATATAGTACTACATAGTCCTTTCATAATTGTATTTCACTAAAACTGAGTGATTTAATTGCATTTTATACATTTAATATTATTCTGACTTATTTTCAGTACTGTGGATGCAACCAGGGCCTGTGCAGGCTAGGCTAGCACTCTACTACTGAGCTACATCCCCAGAAACAACTTTATTCTGAGATGAGGTCCTAATTTAAAAAATCTTTCAATAACCTACATCCTCTGTGGATTCTTACAGTTTGGACTTGAGGTGTTTAACTTTAGTAATCAAAATGTATATAGGGCATTGTGTATTAGTGAATATTTTTGATTTTTTTTAAACCACGATCCACTGTGAGAATACATAGTTTACATGTAACCCAATATTCCATCTTATCTCTCTATCCCATACACAACATAAACCTGAAACAAAAGTATTACAAAACAATTTTTATCCTTACTGCAGGGGTTCACTCCAACATTTTCTATACTATTTCTTTTTGTTTAAACGTGCCAGTTTTTTTCCTACTGAATTTATTTCAAAACTACTTCTGGAAAACAAACAAGTCTGTTAAAAATCCTTTAATGACATTTTTTTTAGCAACTTCTCAGAATTACTGCTACTCATGTACTATTTAAAAATACAGGGCTGGTGGAGTGGGTCAAGTGCTGAAGCACCAGCCTAGCAAGCACAGGTCTTGCGTTCAAACCCCAGTACCACCGGTAAAAAAAAAAAAAGACTTAAAAATATATATCACTGTAGAGATGGCATTTAAATGGGCAAATAGTTCAACAAGTTATCAGACTTCACTTAGACAACTAATAAAAAGTTACGTAAATTTAAGCTTTGCCAAATGTAGAAAAGACAAAAGGCAAAATAATGAATATTTTATGCATAAATCATTTTAAATCTATAAAAATGCTTCAAATGAACAATGTTTAACTTATTGAGGTATTTCCTTATTCAGTATTATAAAGGCAGGTAGAAATATCCCCCAAAGTAACAGTATTTAGTTAAATGAAAGCTAGAGAGAATTTTACCTGTAATAAACTCGTAGTGTTTGGATTTCTTCTTCCAGTTTTTTGTATTGTTCAACTGCAGTTTCTCTGGCTTGCTGCATTGATAACAACTTTGCCTGCAAGTAATTAATATTTAAAAAACTTCAATATTAATTTTGATATGTTAAGATACAGTATTGCAGTATGGATAGAAGTCTTGCATTTCTGGTAGTGTAAAAACTTATCCAAGTGTCAATCTCCCACAAAATAGTCTGTATATATAAAAAATAGAAATAGTAAAGACATGGACATATTAAATTTACCAACTTTGCTCATTACTAATCTTTAACCTTGTTTTATCTGTATTATCAGATATATATGCCCTTCTGCAATGTTTAACTTTATACATAGAACTCAGAATGTGGAACATGGGTTCAGAGCAATATCTGAGTGGAGATAAGCACAATGGTGATTCACATTCAAATTTAATGTGGCTCCACTCACTGCCCAAACATACTAGATTTTCTTTTAACTTTATTAATAGGAAAACTCAGAAAATTCTAAATATGTTGTCAAGCTATCTTTGATATTTAATGTTAAAAAATTACACAAGACTATAAACTGATTCTTACAGATATGCTTTAACCCTTTCAATTCCTTTTCTGCACAGAAAAAAAAATCTCTAAAAGGAGAGTGGCAGCAACTTGAATGTTAGAGAAATTTAATTCAAGGGATGTTATTCCTCCTATATTGTAGTATTAAAGTTTTGTTTTTTGTGGGACTGGGGTTTGAACATAGAACTTTGAGCTTGCTAAGTAGACATGCTACCACTTGAGCCACAGGTAGGATGATCATGATCTAAGGCTACGCTTGGGAAAACAAAAGACCCTATCTGAAAAACAACTTAAGCTAAAAGGGCTGGAAGCATGACTCAAAGTGGTAGAGCTCCTGCCTCCCAAGTGCAATACCCTGAGTCCAAATGCCAGTACCACCCATAAAAGAAATAAAAGCAGAAACATATATACATATATAAATGGTGTAACTTATAGTGTGTTGATACATCTATACATTGTGTAATGTTTAAATTAGTTTAAACATCTATTGAAAAATTGAAAACTGTCAATATATTTTTTTCTAGCTTTTTGAAATATATAGTTAATTACTATTATCTATAGTTTTTTTCCATAGGGTTCAAAGTAATAATTTTAAAATCATTTGCACTTCCCACCATCATTTCAATTGGATTTTAAGCAATGCCAAAAAGTTTTCAATGTAACTTTTAAGATATGGTACTAGTAAATCAGGTTTTGGTGTTCTTTATCCAAAGTTTAATTTGTATGAAAAAAATATCTTTCACTTTAAATGATGTTTGATAGATAACACAGAGCAAACTGTTGTCACAAACCTCACAAACTACATGAATGTCAATAATTTACAGTAATTGAATATTTGGAGGCAGTTTCAGAAGTCTGCTGCACGCATATGATTTCACTGGAGTTATCTTCTTGCATAAGAATGTAGTAAATAAGAAAAATAATAAAATCCTAATTTAGGAAAATTAATTAGTGTAATGAAATTGAACATTAGATAACGCGACTTTTCTTTAATAATGGAAATTACAAAACGTGCAGGAGTTTGGGTCTTTGCATGTAAGTCTAGGCACAAGATAATAATTTGCTCTCTATATCTGGTTACAAATTGTAACAGAGCTACTTTCTAATTAAATGGGAGATGTTTGGATGCTTGCTTTAACATGCTCTATTCCATAGTTATAAATAAAACATTCTAAAAATTTAGGAAAAAGCATTTAAAATAAAAAAGTGGTTGGTTCTTAATGTTAATGATTAACAGCCCTGCTAATTTTCACTGTACCATGAAGTATGATTGGACTGGTAACTTAGAAGGCACAGTTATCCACTATGCCTACTGGCAAGTTTAACAGAATCATGCAAAAAAAGGACATAAAGCATTCAACTTAAAACAAAAACAAACCAGATATTCTGTTGTATGTATTTAAAAAATACCAAATCCTGGACAGTAATAGAAAATAAGTACATGTAAATGCTAAATACCTTAGATAACTATTGAAAATTTTTTACCTGGTACTGTCAAGAATGAAAACAAAAAATCAAAAACAAACAAACAAACAAAAAGCCATGTCCCAGAGGCATGGCTTAAGCGGTAGAGTGCCTGCTTTGCAAGCACAAAGCCCTGAGTTCCACAAAACAAAACGAAACAAAAAACAAGCCATGTCCCTATAGGAAAATAAGAAAATGTAGATTTTTGTCTAGAAGTCTCTATAATGAAAATAGAATGACTTTCCTTAAATTCTCACGTTGGAGGAGGTAACAGTGAACATTTTACCTTCACTCCTACATTTACTTGGCAATGAAAATGCGGTATTGATTCGTAACAATTCATTCAATGTCTAATTTTCGGTCTTGGCCCATGACTGTGCTCAAAGATACTATAAAATTTCTGGCTTTACAGTCTCCTTATTTTATCAGATACATGCTTATCTGACCAGAATATCTTTTTCCTTTTGGGGGTGATACCCTTACCCTATGCCAGTAGGATTCAGACCTTGGAGCAAGGATAAACTTCATTCCATACAACCTCAGATATACGATCCAAGTTGTCCAATCAGAATATTCAATCCCACTAGCCCTATGTGAAAACTAAATCCTAATGATGTCACCTATCCTCCCTGATTTATATATCCCAGAAGATAGATCATACAGATCTATTTCTTAGACTTCCTGGCTAAATAATTCATTTGTATGTGTGTGTGGAGGGGGGGACTTGATCTAGTTTGAGTTGGATATTTGTTACATGTAGTGTAAAACCACTTCAATTTGAAGTGTTTGCTTCTATCCTATTTCTTATTCATTATTAATATGTAATTCCATCATGCTACAGGTAAAAAATAAATTTCACATAAGAAACATTAAGGAATGTAGCAAAGAAGATATTTTTCCTGTTTTTCTATTAAATTATTCCCAGGTTTTTGGCAATTGCTTTTTATAAAAACTGCATTCACTCATATGTGTATCTACTCATCCAACTAGATGCATCCATTATATAAAGCTCACTGTGAGGGAAAATGTAATGTAAAGTCTCCTACTACCAACCTTTAGTATACACCTTCCTTCCACTGAGATTACTAGTTACTTGTTTGTTGTAGGTTCTTCAAGAGATAGTCAAAGCACATATAAGCATATGTATTTGTAAATAAATATACCTACTTACCACATTAAAAAACTGATAACTTAATATTTTTGTTTCAGGTCAAAAAGTTCATGCCATCCCACAATCACACACACCAGTTGTATTCCCATCCTTTCCTTCCAACCCCAAAGTAAAACACTTCTATGACTTTGAGTTCATAATTTTCAAGAATTGTTATACTTTTACCATGGAGTTATATCCTTATGGATAATATATTTTATTGTTTGCATTGTTTTAAACTTTACATGATATTCTACATATTTCACAGACAACTGCTTTTGATCATTCATATTGATATATTCTTTTTTATAGCATTTATCCTCATACATGTATACTATGATTATAGATATATTTGGACTTGTTTTACATATTACTTCATGTTTTATGTTTAGCACTCATTTTGTTGCTTCTTTTTTTCTCTGACTTATGTTGGAATGAATATTCTATGTTTCTATACTATACTGTTTAGAGTGTCCTACTTTGAAGATTTTGAAGAACAGCTTAAAGTGTATGTTTTTAGTAGAGCCTACAATGAATCAAGGTTTCTACATCTAACCATGAATTTAGGTAAGCAGATTACATAAGTATAACACTTTTCCTACTTCTAGACACATTTTCAGGTAAATGTTATCACAGTAAAACATACATATAATATCATGTAAGTATATGCATGGGCTTTTAAGGGCAGGCTTATTGAGTTATAATTTAGTCAAAGTAAAACTCACTCATTTTAAATGTTTGATTCTGCAAATTTTGACAAATACTTATATAGCCATGTAACAGCCATCAGAATCAAGAAACAGAATATTCTCATTATCCTGAAATTTTCCATTGTGCACCACTGCAATCACTCCCTTTATATCCAGCCCTTGGAAACCACTGATGTGATAGATTTGCTCTTTCCAGAATGGTATATAAATGAAATGCAGTCCTTGAGTGTGTATTCTTTTACTGAACATACTTTTGAGCTTCATCTACATTACTGCATATATCATACTACATGTTCTTTATTCCTTCCCATCACTAAGTAGGATAGTGTGGATGTCCTGGAACCTGAATATTCATTCATCAGTTGGTTTACCTAGTTCTTGGCATATATTAATAAAGTGGCTATAAGTATCTGCAAATAGGTCACTTTGTGGATGTCTGAATTTCTCTTGAGTAAGTATCTAGGAGTGAAATCATTGGATCCTATGGTGGGTGTATGTTTATATACTTTATAAAAAAATTCACTAAACTTGCTGCCTACATTGAATAGGCTTAAAGCATTTATACTTAATACCAATGCCATTTGCTTGAAATATATTACTAGAGTCTATCCTTAATAATTCCCATTATTCCTATTTTACAGGTTACAAAACAGGTTCATGGAGCTTTACTAGCTTATAAATATAAGAGAACTAATGACTGATGGAATTGGGATATAAATTCAGACCTGGTTGGTCCCAAAATACATATGTTTTTCCATTTACACCGGTGTACAACATTATGTAAGATATTTATACTTCTAGGTAAACAATGGAATGAAATCATCATTTGGTAACATAGTTACTGACAATAATGAAAGTCAACAGAATAATCAGAGTATGTTTTCCATCTTCAGTATTCTTTTAATATACCCAAAGTGATTGAAGAAAAGGTTGGTTGACCAATGTTAGGACAGTCTTCCAGTTAAGTGTTCCATTATATATCTATTTTGAGCAGTGTTATCTAAATAGGACAATCATTTGTACTGGTACTGTATTAAAAATGAACTACATCATTTCCTTACTGTTTTATCTATTAACTTACAATGACTGACAAAGGAAGGATCACACTGTTCACATCACTGAACACTACATTTATGGGTACTATGGATAAATCACTTTATCTTACTTTAAATCTTGTTATGTTTGGTTTAAATGTGTTT